AATTTTAAGGGGGGTTTCGGACCCCCAAATACGTCAATTCAAAGGTCATTCAATTTTCCCGCGAAATAAGCCAATTTCCTCCAGATTTGCCTCCACATTATCTCAGTAAGGTCAAAATCAGTTCAACATTACGTTGGCGAGTCCCCAATTTTTTTTTTTAATTTTTCCAGAAATTAGGTAAAATTTTAGAGGGGGTGGAAGGGACTTTTGGAACACCCTGTATGCCTCCTGGCTACTACGCAGCCCAACCCTCAGAGGGCGCTTGGAAACTTGTGTGAACCCGTTCACCGCAAACGTAATTGATGGCACTGCGTTCGTGCATACCTTAAATGAATCAAATGCCAAAATATTCTCCGAACTCTCCACTAAAGTGTTTCAGTCAGCAATCAAGCTCAAGCTGCAGAGCTTTGACAGGGTGGATATTGTTTTCGCCAGGTATGTATCTACCTGGTAGCATAAAATTAGACCCGAGAGAGAAAAGCGGGTTCGGAAGAGAAATTCTCGTAAAAGCAAAAATTTTGGGCGATTCTTGCAAGGTGACCATAACAAGACTCAGTTATTTCAATTACTCACACATGAAAAATGAAAAAAAAAAAAAAAACAACTCCCTGCTGAAGGGTTTTGGGGGGATCCGGCACGGTGGCGGTCAGGTGTCGCAGTGCATCAGAGAGCGCTATGGCAGCGGGTATCTCCTAAGTATAGTATGCAAACATCGTAACAAACAAGATTGATTTTTGATGATCTGATACATTACAGACGCTGTTGAGATACCCACAGCTCGCAGAATAGATTTGCATGAATGAATGATTTCTACTGACTCTTTAATGAGGCATCCGACGTGATCTAATAGTAAATTTGTAAAAACTGGAAATTTTCAAAAATAATAGAAGTAAATTCAGACCTGTCTTCTTATAAATGATGCTGATTTCGAAAGTTTGCTTTCGTCATCAGAGTCGGTCCACTCGCGTTCCTGACCATAACTGTAACAGGAAAAATAGTAGCTGGTTGGAACATATTATGCTATTTGATATGGAATATCTGTATTGTCTTTTAATGGTCATAAAAAGTTCTAAGGCTTTTACCGACAATGACAGTATTGAAAACACTCATCTGAGGAAGGAAAAAAATTTGTTTGTATGTACTAAATTGAATTTATTTTGATATTTGAATTCATGTTATTTGAGAAACTTCTCACACCAAATTTATTATAAGAATTGAGAGTATTTATTACGTCATCTCAAAATTTTAGACAGCCCGCACCGACAATCTAGACAACGGGGCGAGGCAAGTGTTAAGTGTGAATGTTAACGCTACTTTTATCGTAATGATGGCGATGAGCAATTTGTGGAGCATGAAACTCGTCAAAAGATGACTCATGAATGTAAGAATGGTAACTTTGAAAGGTGAGTTGTTGCAAATTAAGAAGGTTCGTTAAACCAAAAATTGCTCCACACTTCCTCATCAGTCATTTTCAGGAGAATCAGAGCGTAGGATTCCAAAAGAAACTTTTAAATTGTGAAAGAGAGGGCAGTGTGAGATCTCTACAATGTATTGACACTGTCCAGGAACAACAATGTACCCTGTTAAAAATCAATGATTTACTCCGAGTGAATGGCCGGCGTGAAAAAAAAAAATTCAGCGCGAATTTCGCGTCGTACTCTGAGTGAATAGATCAGAGCGTAAATATTACCAACGATGGACGAATTAGTTGAGGTACCTCAAGTAGCGTGAATGGGTCACTAAACCATGAGCGAATTTTGACTTACGAATATAGTTTTCTGAAGGAAAATGACACGTAGAACACGATGCGCACATTAAAAACGCGAACAAGTAACTCAATTACCGAGAAATGCGCAGTTCAAATCGCTCAACTTATACGCAAATTTAAAACGCCCCGGTCTCGCGCCGCACCGAATGATGTAATCCGGTACCAATCAGAGGCGGGCACGGGTTTCCACGACGTTCGTCAAATATGTCTATCTATTCTTCGTATATGAGAACAACAGTAAAGTCGAAATTATATATTTTGAATTCAAGACTCGAATCTCATTCATATGTTAGCTGTAATAAACAAGCAACAACTCCACATTGAAATACGTTTTATTTTAACAAACATCAGATGAAAATGAGAGAAGATTGCGATATGACAGCCGCAGTACATCAACCGCGTCAGTTTTCCGCCATTCGGGTGCGTTTGAAATGTCTTGCAGTTTTTAGATTTTTCCAAAGCGGTTTTCTCCGCGATTTTGGCTCCATGAAAATGCGGAAAAATCACCACGTTATCTCCTCACATATTAGTTTCGGAATATTCAATAAAATAAACAAGGTTTAGTGACCCATTCAGGGCTACTTGATACTAGTGCCGAATGGCAAAGTGGTAGCGCGCTCGTCTATCATCGCCACGACTCTAGTTTCAATCCATGCTGCAGCAGTTCCGTTTTAAGTTTGCCTGTCAGATTTTCACTCCCGCCAGAGCGCGAAATTCGCGCCGAGCTTATTTCGCGCCGGATCCATGCACTCAGAGTAACAGGTGGTCAAAATAGACGATTTTAGTGGTGACGTCACGGAGCGATATTAGTGGTTCGATATCTCGAGAGTCGAAATGTGCCCCAACAAACAAACATAACCTCCAAAATGAACAATTGACGAAATAATGCTAAAACTAGCCTGAAACCAAACAATTAATCCATGGGACTTTAAAATTATGAAAGCTACTCATTTACCAAAACGTTTGAGATCACAATCACAAGAATTGATTGTAAAATAAACTCGTAATATCATAGACAGTCATCAAGCGAATTCCCCTACCCCCCCTGCCTATATCCCGCAGATTCCTCCATGTTCGTTTGTTGGGGCACGTTTCGACTTTCGAGGTATCGAAATTATAACGAGATGTGACGTCACACTAAATTCGTCTATAGCAACTGAGTAAGCGTGAATTTCGTCCCGGAATTTTTAACAGTGTAGGGTCTTATCAAAAAGTCCTGCAAAAATGCCGGCCTGAAATTCACTCACAGTCTCACATGCCCTTATTGATGAAGGTGGCGTTTCGCTTCTTTCAGGGTCCGCTCCGCGAACCCGCAATGACGATTTTGCAAGTTGACAACACTATTCATCCTCCATAGATATCCATTAAAAATATCGACTTTAAGTGAGGCCATAGAGTACATAGAGTCGTAATGTAAATGGGAGAGCTGGCGCCATGTTCTGCTCGACGAATTCCGAGCCCGGTGTGCGCCGAGTTCGGGTCACTCTTTCGATACAAGTTCGATCCAAGATGGCGGTGCGGAATACGTGGTGATCCCTATCTTCTTTGTTTACATCGGATGGCCGGGTACCCGTGTATCGCAAACAATCGATTATGTATCGAAAAAGTGACCCGGCGTCACACAGGAGTCTCGGAATTCGGGACCTGGAAAATGCTTAAAAGTGGCGCCAGCTCACCCACTTACATTACGACTCCATATACTCTATGGGTGAGGCAAGCTGCCTCATCAAGAATCGATTCTTTTATTACACACATTGAGCAGTGGCGTGGCGTGAATGATCGATTTGATATTTCCCCATTTGAATCCGTGGTAAAGAATAGATTATTGAGGTATTCGCTGCGAACGCCCTGTTAATCGATCCTGTTCCATAGGTTTAAATGATAGATTAATCGATATATCGCAAAGCACGCCACGCCACTGACATTGAAATAGAAGACAGACAGTGTCGCCAACTTTCACGAATCGCCACTGCAGGCGCGTAAGTTAATGGAGCGCATCAAGGGACTATCTTTTCTTGATATCCGTATAAGTCATGAAAGTCAGTCCGGTAGATCTTCAAATCGAACCTTGACAAAAAATGAACATTTACTTTGTTTTAATGAGAGACTTCATAACTTCATCACGTGGGTAATATAAAATAACCTGCGGACCGATTATTGAAATTCATAGACAATGCGCTAAATAGAGAAGACATAGGGAATATAGAGCGATTCTTTTCGTTGGAATGAGGGGCTCTCACAGACTAAGGGAGAAAATGATGAACGAACTATTGGGTCTCTCGTGGGTTGCCGTTAATGGACCACTAGACAAGGTACGAATTTCAGCATTCTGACACATGCTTCTCAACCAAAATTTCACGTAAAACAAGATGCAAACAACGAAAATTACCGAAATCAACTCCTTTCGAAGATATTTAATGATTCTTGATGCGTGAATTCAAACCACCCGCTCGTGAAAACTCAATGCTCTACGTTACTCACATCGCGCGCTAAACGTTTATCATTACAGTCTCTGCGATGTAAAAATCTGGCAACCTCAATCTCGAAGCTTTGGCTCAGCTATAGCAAATTGTTAATAGTTTGAACAACACATGGTGGGAAATGAACATTGCTCGATTGAGGAGCTTGCTGAAACCGTTGTAGTGCGCGAATTGACTCACGTAGAGCTTTGAGTTTCTTGTGAGCGGGCAGTTAAAATTCCTTGTAACCAATGTGAAATAAAAACATTAATATCTTTGTTAAGAGTTGGTTTCAGTTTTTTTCGTTGCGCTAATCGTGTTTTGCGTGAAATTTTGGTCAAGGAACATGTATTAGAATCCTTTAATTCGTACCTTGTCTAGTGGTCCACTGGTCTTCTACCTGCCTCCTTCGTACAAGGCAACCACCCGCCTCCACAAGTAGGATCCCGACATATCCCGTTCGTATTCTTTGTCTATAGCTTTGTCTATCAATTTCAATAATCGGTTCGCTCGGTCATATTTCAAAAATCTAAAAAGAAGGAGCTCATCCAGGGACTAGCGCCATTCGGTAGCGGCAAAAATCATGGAAATGGGCCTAGTAGAACGGTAGAACATACTGTGACAAAAAATGAAAATTTAGGGTGTCAAAGAGCTTTTATTAACGATGATGATATTATGTTACTTTTTATTCGGTTATTCATACTAAACTTCATGCTCCGGATGAAAAGTAGCAAACTAGAGCCTTTGACATTTTTTCGCGAAATGTCTCGGCCATTATCACAGAATCTATACTCAGCCATATCAAAAGGAAATTACATTGGTTTTTCCTTCTTGAAACTTAAACGCATTGCATTCCAAATGTCTTTAGCGCCTCCTCTAGTTTGTAGAACAGGGAATAAATCGGTAGTTGCTTCATGGTGCTTGCTTCCAGTGTCACAGTTGGTGTCGTTGATCCCCACATTTTCTACATTCCTCCACTACAATTCAGATAGAAATGATTGAAATTCCAATAATTTATTTAAGGAACAACTGGTAAGCCATGAAGTCATGTTTCGTTCTAAATGAGAATTGCGGGCAGTTTAGGATAGGCACGTGATTGAGTTTAACAGTTTAGGTGAGCTATTAGAGAGATAATATCATTAGACGAGGTGCAAAATCACGTATTTTCGTTTGTAATGCTGCAGACTTTCTGTCATACTTTATTCTTTATTTGGAAAAGTGGCCAACTTAACTTTTGAAACCTTCCGTGATTTTTTTTTTTTTTTTTTTTTTTTTTTTTTTTTTTTTAGTAGATAATTCCGTAGGATTTTCAAGCCATATAGTTGACTTGTCTCCCCTCGAAAAAATAGAATAGAACCGCAGATTTTAAAACATCGCAGTGGAGATATTATGTTTTGTACTTTAGCAATCGATATGTAATCTCAATACGCGGCTCAAGATAGAGCAGGATCTCTAATTGTTTAGTATAAAGTGAAAAACCAGGAATAAAAAATATAGATTTTTAGTTTTAGATGTTAAACCTTTTCCGGTGACTTCAAGAGCACTGGATCAAAGTTTAATGCAGCAATTCGGATTTAATGACAATGTAAGCTTTTGAATTAAACTCCTCTTAAAATTGGCGACAGCGACGGTTACCTAAATTCAACAGCGATGTTCTCAAGATCTCTAGTTTTCATCCTCTAAGTTTGAGTTGCTGATTATGAGTTAATTTTTGGGTAATTTTTGCGCGAAATGATCCAACTGTCATTCCTTAAGTTGTAGTATATAGTTAAGTATTCAGTTTTGCTCTTCCCCTTCTTGAGACACATTTTGTCCTGCTGCTTTTCAAATCTTTTGGAACAAACACAAGTGGAAAGGTTGAAACACATGCAATTTTGCATCTTGTCACAATTTTACATTTCACATCGGAAAAAAAGTTGCGCTCTAATTGAACGACAAAGTTTTTTGGTTCAGGTAACCAAAAATTTAAAGGTCACAGACAGTTTAAGTTTTTCACCCTCTGAAGAACCATTCTTGAAAGTTGGCAACGCTGTTTTTCCTCCATTTAAATCCATTAAAAATATCGACCTTAGGTGAGGAAAGCTTCTTCGCCAAGAATCGATTGTTTCACATGCATTTAAATGGAAGAAGAGTGTTCCTAACTTTCGAAATCGCCACTGGTCACAAAAACCGCAATTTGGCTCGGGTAACCGAAATTCGGTACCTGAAACCGAATGAACCTTTGGCTATCTGATTCGTTCAGGATTAACCACTACTAAAGTTAGACGCACAACTATTTTTGACTCAGGATTATTAAAAAATCTATAAAATACAAGACGCGCAAGTAAATTAATGTTCCGGCGCCACAATCATAGCAGCAGTTTCGTCGCATCTCACAGTGACGACTATGCTAGAAAAAACTTTCCACTTAAAAAAAAGTTTTAAAATTAATTCGGATGTTATCTCTCGAAAGAATATGTTCATTAGCAAGGAATATGTCATTGAACTCAGCTGAAAACAACTTTACGACCTGGTTCATATCAAAATTACAAGCTCTCCGCACGAAAGCGGATCCAGCAATTTGGCAACACCGGGTTTCCTCCATTCAAACCTATGCTAAATAATCGATTCTTGTCGAAGCACCTGGCCCCTCCAAGAATCGATACGTTTCCATAGGTTTAAATGGAAAAAAGACAATGTTGCCAGTTTGCTGGATCCGCCGATGTTTCTGCAGTCGAGACATCATTTCCCGCTGACCCTGCACATGGGATGATCTAACTAATAAAAGGGAAATACATTGATCATACATTGATCCATCACGCTCGCCTCCCCGCTCCCACCGGTCGGAATCGGTGCGAACTTAGCCGTTCGACGGGCACTGTCCCCGAGGGGTGCAATAAGCTTTCTTTTCGCGATCCGCCCGTCCGTTCGCGAGTAACCGCGGTCGGAAGTCGCGGATATTCCCGTAAGCCCGTGTGCGTTGGAAAGAGAGACGTAGCAGTGCGGGTATATTTCCTGACGCGGCCGTTGCCGGGTGGCCGTCGGATACNGTGTAATCATGGATTTCCTAACTATTAATTCCAGTGGAACTCAATTTAACTGTAAAATCATTCATCAACCTAAAGATGGTGGTTGTTTGTTCAGCTCTATATCTTACGTAATATATGGCACCAACAGTCTTCGTCATAAAGTTCGCAGTGAAATAGTTCAATACGTTGCAAGTAATTGGGAAAGATTCCAGTTCTTAACCGAGGGAGAAGACCACCATTTTTATTCTACAAAAGATGAGTATATTTTGGAAATGTCTTTTTCATCAACATACGGTGCTTGTAGCGAGATACTTGCTGCAAAGGAATTATATTTTTACAATTTTGAAATATATTCTACTGCAGGTATATTAATCTATAACATTTCTGATTCTTCGAATTCCAAATTAGCAAGATTTTTATTCAGTGGTCCCATTAATAGCGGCCATTTTGATGTCTTAGATGTAATTAACAGTACAGTAACCCCCCCTTCATTTGATGATTTATCAATGATTGTAAGTACAGCAGAGTCAATTCCTGTGTTATCTGATTTTCAGGCATTACCGAAATTAAAAAAGAAACGTCGGATTTGAATGAATAGCAGACTTGATAAATTTAAAAATAAAAATCGCGCCGCCAATTTTAGAAAATTAAATATTGAAAGTCAAAGGAAAACTTATTCTAAATATAGAAATAAAAATCCTCAGGTTCATAGAGATGCGGTTAAAAAGTATTTACGAGAAAACCCGCAAGTCAATAAAGCTGCTTGCAAAAAATATTCTCTTAAAAATCCTGAAGTTATTAGAGAGGCCGTTAGAAATTACATTCAGAAGAATCCTGATAAACGCAAGGAAATTATAGAAAGTTATTTAAAAAATAATGTTGAGAAAATTACAGAATCCGTTAAAAAATCTAATATGAGAAGAAAATCTGTGAGCTGTAAAAATAATTATTGTGGGTTTGCTTATGACAAAAATATAGATTATGAGTTGAATAATTTTATCTCTATTGGAAAAATGAATCATATTTGCAATTTCTTTTTTAAAATTCAGATGATTTTTGACAATATCAAACAGAAGTGCAAGAACTGCGATACAACCGTTACATCTAGCTCATCAAAAGTTATTCGAAGATCATTCAAAAACCTCAATGACAAGTTACAAAAACTTTTCGTTAACAATAGTGTCACACAGTACTAGGGATGGTTACTTTTTAACGAACCTTATATTTCCCTGACTCAGTCCTAAATTAATTAATTGCATTAATTTTCCAGCGATCCAAATAAAATCAGTGAATTAAAAGTTATACACATATGTATGAGATATTCCGATTTGTTTCCTGCAATATCGCCGCGCGAAGCGCGGGTTGACTGCTAGTTTACCATATGGATGGCCAACGTGCAAAACCACGCACCTCCGTTTGAGAAGTTGTAGACTTTCTGTAATACTTTATTTTCTCTGAAAAATTACTCAACGTTATTTCTTGAGAGCTTCCTTGATTTTTTATCTCTATCAGCAGGATGTTCGGTACTTTCAATCTCTGACGTTGGCTTGTTTCTCTTTGAGGAAATGAAAAAATAGCGGTGATTTTGAAAAACTACAACGGATATACATGGCTCCGCACTTTGGCCGCAGATATAAGCGCACAAATTACAGTGCTAGCCCACCCCCCTCCCCGCAGAAAAATTCCTTACACAAACTCATCCATTTTTTGCGACCATAGAATTTACCCTTTCATCTCTGTGACTGGTTAAGTCAGTAGGCCCTCTTCCACTCTATTCTCTTGTAATGCGTATCAGGGCTGGATTACGGGGGTGGCCACATGAGCCGCGGCCCATGGCGACAAATCTATAGGGGGCGGCATATTTTGCAATTTTTTTAAATGTAGGTATAAAAAAAAATCGTATTTAGAAAAAAAAAATTACAAACGAGAGAAGGCGACATAATCTCTCATTTCCTGAAAGTATAATAATTTATAATTTTGCCGTCTTTCAGAGATACAAGAGACAGAGTCTTTAATTATTCAAGTTAAGTGAGTTACCAAATAGTTAAAACGCAATTTGGCCCGGAACAGCGCGACTTGGAGAGAAATGATGAAAAGGACTTGCGATGAAACGGAGAAGCCCTCAGCGCGGCGATCGGCATGTAATACATATTGGCGCCTACAAGACTGCACGAATACTTCACGCATTGCATCAAACACAGTGCGGTCATTGCGGTCAGCGTAAAACGGATAGCGCCTACAAGACTGCGTGAATACTTCACGCATTGCGTCAATCACAGTGCGTTCAGCAGCGGTCGGCGTGAAACTCGCAGCGCCTACAAGACTGTCGGAATACTTCACGCATTGCGCCAAACACGGTGCGGTCAGCGCGGCGCGGCGGCGGAAGTTAAAATCATTAATCCACATTTATGTTTGTTCATCATAATTTTTTCGTTCATTTCTTATGAATGGAAGGCCTTGTCCACGCAGAGATAGGTTTACGAAACTTAATTTTCGCACAAAGTTCCGTGAACTTTTGCAAGCAGTGTTGACAGGGCTTTCGCAAAAAATGTTTCCAACACGAGTAAACGCGATTTATGCACCCCTCCCCCGCTGGCACGTTCATTTGATGGTTTTTATTGATGTTTCAAAACGAATGGGAAGAGGGCGGCGAAATACAGGCGGCCCATAGGCGACAAGTAGGTAAATCCGGCCCTGATGCGTACCACAAAAGCTTCAAATTGCGTCTAAAAGGGGTTAAAATTTCAACATTTATGTAGAGAGGTCCTTAAGACCTTCCTCTACAGGAAAATCTCATCCCCTACCCAAAAAGTTGAACTGTGTGGGGGCCCGCACCACTTTCTATGCGAATGTCTGGACCTAAAATTCTGAAATCCGGTACCTGTTTTCGCTCGGCGAAACTGAGTGAAAATGTAACGCGAAATGTTGAAGTCAAATCCTGTGATAATTTAAAAAGGATAAACCGATTAATTTTCAGTTCAGTTGGGATTTCGGACGAAACAAACGATGAGTAGAGAAAATTTCGAGGAGCAGATTGCGTGATTTTGAATTTGAAGTAACATCAGAGGGCGTTCAGTAAAAAAATACAATATGTTCGCAAATTTTACCTGGATATTTACTCCTGCTGTTGTCAAATTTGGTGGATCCGGTACTTCTATCACTTCAGTGGAGGAGTAATCGTACCCGGCAAAGAGAAGCTGTACGAGAAAGATAACAGACGTTAGCATTTTTACAGCGGAGCGGAAAATCACGGAAAACATCAGAGCATTGCGAATAATTCACTTTTAAGTTGTTTTATTTCCTTTCCGCAGAAGTACCACTGCGATGGAAAATCAAATATTTCTATAAGACGTTTAAGAAAAAACTTACATATTTTTACTCATTTTAAATTTTATTTAATTACTTTGACTTTTAAAAAATAGTTACTTTAAAAAAAAATCTTTTAACGTTCAATGCCTGGTTATTACCATACCGCTAACATAACATACGCTGGACGCTTTTTGCTCGCGAATTGAGCATAGGAAATACGCCAGCGATTAGCTAATGACATTAAATTAACTCTTAATACTTCACGGTCTATTAAATAATTTTGAATATGTTTTAAAGTACAATACACACATGAAATTGAAATTGTAAGGGATCAGCTACGTTCATTTTGTAGTGTTTTTATCTTTTCGCAAGTTACATTCTCACTCGAATCCTGGCTAAAACCAGAGCATTCCACAGCCACAATCCAGTGTATCACTGAACACACATGTTTTCTCCCGTTAAAATACGACCTGGATGTTCTTCGGCTCGAAAGATTGTTGTCTATACTACGCATGCCACTGATTTTTCGGGAAAAGATTGAAATGTGAAACCGTTTTTGATAAAAATAGATTTCTACCGAAAAACAAATGACTCACAACGATGCTGCCAGGCTGCCTGTCAACTAGTGCAACAAAAGAAACTTTGAAAATCCCGAAAACGGCTCGATTTTCATCAGAAAAGTCGCTTCCAAATCAGCACTGACGTGTTTCCTATGAAAGCAGTTTTTGCACGTACAAGCTGTTGTTTACATTTGAAGTTATTCTTATCTTTAAAGAGGAAAAAGGCGTAAGTATCAAAGATCACCAGTTTTAAACCGTTAAAAATGTATAAGATGATTAAAAATGGAGATATTATACCGTTAACTTTTCAAAAACACGAGATGTGATCAATTAATTTCGCTCATGATTGCAGTATGATGCACTTAGTGCTTTTTTGTGTGGGTGCGTAATAAAAATAGTAGCAAAAACAATTTTAAAACAAATAGCAGGGAGGGTGATTCGCAACAGAGAACAGTATCCACATATAATAATCTTTAATAGAGTATTGTGAACTTAGGTTATGTGGACAGAAGGGATGTCAATTCTTTTAATTAAACGTCATTCTCTAATATATCGACTTCTCCTCAAAAAAGGCAGGCTTGTCAATGGCAGAAATGGTAAAGGAAACTTAATCTCGGAAATGTGGCCGTTACTAATTTTTTCGGTATCGCGGCAGAATAAGTTTGGCACTGTTGATGACACTGGGCAAAAATGAAGTATTACCATGAAAAAACCGAAAAAGTACGTCGTGATCATCCTTGAAACGCGTTTTCTAACGAACTGCGGCATGTATGAACTGAGCTTGGGTTTTAAGTACATTTTATATGTTGCATGCTCACACTATTCAAAAAAATTTACTCGAAAATGCTTCGAATGTAAGCATTGCGTGTCTCTCAAAGCTTTTAAGAGATCGAACCGTGATGGTACCGACTTTTAACAGTTATAGGGTGCTTTAAAATCATCACTCTTTTCAAGATTTATTTTTTCACCAGCTGATCACCCGTACCTCACGCCGAATGTGGATCGACGTACAAATACTTTTTTGTAAAATCTGAGTAACTTTCAAATTTTTATATGTCTATAAAATTGGAAATCTAATATACCTACAGTTTCCTCTGCTACCGAATGTATTTTTCAGAACCCACCCTCTCTCTGCTCTGGTCCAAAATTTCACGGAGCACCATCAGCAAATGATCTGCAGTGTCTATCCCTTATCGCAAGAAAGAGGCTCAGAGGTGATTGAATTTCATGTGAAACATTAAGAAGCACAATTCTTATTTTAAGAATCGCAGGATTATTCGATAATTATTAGGAGCTATGGACTGCAGTACGTGAAAACGTCAAGCTACCATCGGTTAAATCGTGGAGTTGGGACGCTGAATTTGGTTCCAGCTCGTGAATTGCGCTCTATTATTTGCTCTTTAACCAAGAAAGGTGATAGGCGACCACAGCTGCCCAAATTCAGGATGATTTACATTAAAAATATTGTAAATGCTGCATATTTTTCAAGATGATGCGTCTTCGAAGAATCTTTCGAGAGTGGGCGGAATAATGTGAAGGCCCATTAATTCAGTCAGTAACGGAGAGTTTACGCTGACAATTCGGTTAACTTTTGTTCGGATACAACTGATCTTATAGTAAACACGGTCAATCCTGCAATATCCTCGCTTATTCAGTGGCGTCGCGTGAATAATCGAATATCGATATCTCGCCATTTGAAACTATGGTAAAGAATCGATTACTAAGGTGTTCGCTGCGAACACCCTGATAATCGATCTTATTTCATAGGTTTAAATGGCATAACAATCGATATATCGCAATTCACGCCACGCCACTGATATTATTGATGTTCCTCCTCATGTTTTATATTATTTTCAACCATCTCTAAGCCTCATTTTTTGGGATTAGCTATAGATACAGCAGCTCACTTCCAGATGGCGCTTCGCGAAATTTTGGACCCGCGAAGAGAGAAGGTGTGTTCTGAAAAATCCACTTTTCTAGAGTTCTATTGAACCACATTGACAAATCTATAGCTCGTTAGAAAGCTGAAAATATTGGCTTTTAAACGCTTCTTTAAGATTTTCTATTTGTATCTTAGTCTAGGAGATTTTGACCAGGTGAACTTATTCTCTGGACGATCCTCGTATATCGCCAAGTGCGCTCATACTTTTTCGCTACCCTATGTGTAGAAAATATGGAAGGTTTTTTCGAAATAAATCAACAATCTAAAAAATCCTGTCATCAAGAAGCGTGGTTCCAGAGTTTTTTTTCCCCCATTTCTTCCGGCTCTCAAAGCGAGCCATGAAAAACAACTCCTGCATTCACCGTTACAGCAACAATAATTGCATTGATTTTATTAGAGAAGGGCGGAAAACTTCTACAGCAAGAATGAATCATCAGCAGATGAAATGTGGCCTCCTGATACGATTTTCTATTTTTTTTTTTTCACCGAGAAGCAGTAATGGAAGATTCCAGAATGGAAAAGTTTGCCTCTCTTGGCGCCGTACCATCAGCTTTACGGTGAAAGAAGATTCGTACTTCTTACAATGCTCTTAGTGGAAAGTGAAATATCTGCTTTCCTGGGCGTAAAATACAATTATTTCGGTTCCACATGCGATGCAGCATTGTCATCGGGACCAGAATTTTTATTACAAGTGACATTACAGCTACGCCTAAAAAAGGAGGTAGGACCTAAAACCGGGAAACGGTAATTACAACTTCAGGAGAACTTGCTGATAAGTCGATTTTAAGTGATTCGGTTTTAGATGTACGTGCTGCAGACACTATCAAATTAGGTATTGTGTCAAATGCCTAGGCAGATAGTCAAATTTCGACAGTTTACGAAATTTTGTAAATTTATGTCGAAGAACAGACGTGTTTTCACTTTTTTAGGGGAAAATAACTCATCAAATTTACGAACTCTCCTTGTTCCTTCCTTTTCAAATTCTCCACATGTATTTAAATGTTAAAATCGTAAAAATTCTGTTCTATGACATGCTGAAAATTCAAAGATTATTGGTAATTCGCAGGAGCTAAGCATTGTTGAAAATACTATTGTGTAATGCACGTTTTTGCAGATGATCATTTTTTACAGGAGCAATGATTAGGTATTTCGTCAAAAATTAGAAAAAGAATCAGACTTTCGATCCAAGTATAAATATTCGGCTGTTTGCCTAGGCATTTGACAAAATGTCTGATTTTACTATTTGCCCGCGACACACACAACTCGTAGACTGCCCGGTGATAACATTTTGAATTCCATTAACTACCTGGTTTTAATGCTCAATGTTGGCCTGCATGACAAAGAAAAATTGATGACGCAAATCAAATGGCCGCGACATACATTTCATCGCTGGCTGGCACATCTCAATTTTCACGTGAGCCCTCGAAAGTAGGGCGATATATGGATAATAGGGCTCATCCCAAAATGAAGTTACGCCCTCACGTCAGAGGAGCGACGATTTGAGTCAAAGGGGGTAGACTTCACGAACCATCCGAATGCTTGCGATGCCTTGATGTTTTTGCTTTCAATTTTTTTCCTCTTCAAAATTCGAAAAATGGTCGCATGCCTTTTCGAGAGAATGCTGACGAGTGTGTCACTCAAAAAATTATTTCTCACACCAGCGCAGACGACGAAATTGATTTCAACCTCTCTTGAAATTACTCTTGAGGCTGCAAAAACACGTGGTTTGCGATCTTGTCCTTTATCATACTTTACTTTTCAAATCGTCGTTTCTCTGACGAAGAAACTTAACACCGTCCCAAGGCTGCAAAGTTGACTCAAATAATTCAATATTTAAGAAGAATGTACCGGTGCGATTTTTTTCCAAATTTTTTCTGACGATCGCTCTAGATCAAAAGAAAAATCGGTGACATTTTCAGTTAGAAATGTCCAAAATCCTCCTGGTAAAAATGCAATTTGCGAGGAAATATTTGGTCATATTGAAAAGCTTTAACGCTCTTCCGTGAGGAAACCGACGGAATGAAAAACTAATAATCATATTTTGAAACTTCCAGGATTTTTTTCATCAGCGTGAAGAATGTTTTGTGAAAATTTTGAGCCGTGATGAATCAAACAAACTATGTCTGAAGGTGGATATTCAAATTGTTCAGTATAGAAAAAAACTGATTTTAGACACTTTTTAATACTTTCAACAGATTGGGCTAAAATTTCAAGCCATAATTTTCATTGGAGATGTTATAAACGCTTAAAAAGAATCGTTATTAGAGATGACTACTGCGTTGGCAAACTCCAAACCCTGTTTTCTTTTTACATCCCTCGCGCCAGATTATTGTTCTCTAGTGATCCAGTTACACGATCGAATTGAGCCATCAAATTGAAGCTCTGATTGGTGGAAAAAGACCTGAGGTGAGGATGCGACCAATGAGAGGCCCAACTTGATGGCTCCATTTGATCGTGTAACTGGACCTTAGAAGCGAATCCGTATTTTCATGTGAGCCGGATAATTCGTCGTTATTCCTGCCACGAAAGAACGTAACTACACTTCGATGCTGCCAGATTTCCCCTCAGAATTTTCATTTTTACCAGGAGGATCTTGGATAGGTATCTCTAATTGAAAATTTCACTGATCTATCTACTAATCCCGAAAAATCAGGCAAATTTTGGGGGGAAATGGCATACAGGTACATTCTTGTGATAAATTGAATTGTTTGAGTTAATTTTGAAACCTTGGAATGGAGTTACATTTCTTTGTGAGAGGAACGACGAATTGATGCTATCAGGGTCATCGTTGGGATTAAACCTGCACCTCTTGAAAAATTAGAGACTCGTTGAATCTAGCGGGAAGCTCCGTGATTGGTCCACATTGCGATGGATGCACTGAAAAAAAAACTCCAGCCGTGGGAGCCGCAATTACGGGCTATATAGACATACCGTCCGTTCCGGGCTCAAAGGCCAAAAATTCCGGCTGCTGGAGCCGTAGCTTTGGCCTCTGAACCCGAAGCAATCGAAGCTACGCCTCCAGCAGCCGGAATTTTCGGCCTTTGAGCCGGGAACGGACGGTATGTCTATATATCCCGTAATTGCGGCTCCCACGACCAAAGTTTTTTTTCAGTGTATAGGTCTATCGCAAAGTGGATAGAGTTAAAATGAGAGGTCGGACAAAATTTGGAAACTTTAAACGATTATAACTCCGTTTATACAAAACTTTGAGGTTCTAAAAGTGGTTTCATTAGATTTCTCGTGAAATTTCCTTGCAATAGCATCCCTTGAAATTTAACAAGCTGCTGGTTCCAACACTACTGTGTTGGAGAGCTCGCCTTTGGGAAACTATTAACAACTATTAATGATTTTTTCTGAAATTGTATATGTATTAAATGAATCTTTACCCAATTATCAGAGGTTACATGCCGATGCAAAATGTTATGACGTAATTTCATATGACAAATTTTTCACATTACAATAAATAAAGAGAAATAAAGAGAGAGAAATGGAATTATCTTTTATGAATGTGATTTTGCGGCAAATGTTGCAATGGCTATTTTTGCCATCGCATTTTTGTTTCTGGCTTTCATCGTTGATAAGCTTTTTCTTAACTTGTCAACAATGTAATGAAATCATATGATTTAATTTTAATTTTTTTTTTTAAATCAAGTCGCCAACTTGAATTAAGGTTATACTTTGTTAAGCTGGCAGTCTGGAATTCTGAATTTTTATCGGCACAGAGTTCAAAGAAACTATAATTTAGCACGGTTTGGAGGAACGTTTCTGCCATAATTCTTACACAATACTTATGGTATACACTAAGAGCTGAAAAGGAATTCACTTGAATTTTAGCGTGGAGCTCGAGAGACCACTTCAAGTCTTTGTATGCGAGTGGCTCAATGGAGCACATCACGCCTTTGTAGGTATGGGGTGGCTCAATGGAGCACCTCGCGCACTATAAATAGCACGGAGCTCGAAAGAGCACTTCATGCATCTGTATTTTAAGGTTAAAACGAACTCTAAAGAAACTCAATGCGAGGCTCAAACGAATTCTCAAGCATTCTAAATGCGAGGCTCAAACGAATTCCCAAGCATTCTTGATGCGAGGGGCTCAAACGAATCCTAAAGCATTCTTAATATGAGGTTTAAACAAACTCTGAAAGGATCCCAATGCGAGTCTCAACCGAGCTCTCAAGCATGCAATTATTTTGAGGTTAATTAACCTTCTATGGTACCAATAACGGCAATCTTAAGGATTATCCATTAATTATGCGCAAATCTCAATCTTAGTCTTAGTAACTTAAAATTAATTGAACAAATTATTAAATCACGTCGAAGTCACCATGTTTTTCATTTTAAGAAATAATAACAATTGCAAGTACAACTGCACACAAAAACTGCATTGAAAAGATAAGAGGATGATAACATACAATTAGGTTATTTGATATAAAACCATAGCAACATGCTATGATATGCTCGGCCACTGGAAAGTGCTGCTCTCTAGTGTAGCAAACGAGGAACAATTAATCCTCAGTTGAATGAGGGAACGGAAATGTTCGACGGAGGAAAACTGTAACCCGCGAAAATTCAACTTTTAGACCTTGAAATCAATGGGATTTTGGCCGTTCCTCCGACGACAACGAGAACCATCCATTCGTCGCCACGGACACTACCAATGCTAAAAGAAATCGATCGCAAAGAGCTCTCCCGAGTGGGCGAGCTCAAAATGTGACGAAATAAATATCAAATTTTGCAGTTTTATTCACATTTCATGTCCGACCTCTCCAATTGACTCGATCCACTGTGTGTCGCCCCAGTGATATCTTCTAGCAATTTTATCGGACCCTAGATCGATCGGGTTAACGCGGGAATCCCTAGTAATTCTTAGGCGTTCGAAAACGGTCAATTTTTGGAATTTTCGAGTGTTCTTAGCGCTATATCGACGGTGAAAGTCAGCAATCACATAACTCGTTTGCGGTGTCTGAAAATCTCCGCCTCTACGTCATTTTTTTAAAGGAGAACAAATTGATATTATTTCTTGAAGTTTTTGCAGAATTTTCTTCGCATTGAGAAGAAAAATCATGACAGTTTTAAAGAATTGCCGTTGAGTAGTTTTCCATTTAAAAAATAAAGTATGACAGGAAGTCTGCGACGTCGCAAACCGAGTTATGTGATTGCCGACTTTCACCGTCGATATGGTTCAGAAGTAGCTCTTGTTAGATAAGGGATCTTATTTTCTCCCTTTAGGACCATTTTACCAACCTCCACCACATAAACCTCCACACATCTCCCAACTCTCGCAATATAAATTACTCCAACGTCTGCAATTAGAAACAGAGGTGATTCAACCCGAAACCACGTCAGCGGGTTTGACAACCTGCCTACGTGTTTGCAGCAATGTGTTACTGTTGCTTTTGTGCTGTCTCTTCACGGGCAAAATTTTGTTTCGTTTTCAATTTCTCGGTAACCATCAGGGCCGGATTTACCTACTTGCTGCCCATGGGCCGCCTCCTTCTCATTCATGTTAAAACATCAATAAAAACATCAATAAAACATCATTAAAAACCAACGTGAACGTGCTGGATGGGAAGGAGTTCATAAGACGCGTTTACTCGTGTTGGACACATTTTTTGCGAAAGTCCTGTCAACACTACTAGCAAAAGTTCACGGAACTTTGCGCGAAAGTTAAGTTCCGTTAACCTATCTCTGCGTGGACAAGGCCTTCCATTTATCAGAAATGAACGGATAAATTATGAAAGAACAAACATATGTGGTTTAATCATTTTTAACTTCCGCCGCCGCTCGCCGCGCTGAACGCACTGTGTTCGGCGCGATGCGTGATGTATTCCTACAGTCTCGTAGGCGCTATGCGTTTCACGCTGACCGCTGCTGAACGCACTGTGTTTGATGCAATGCGTGAAGTATTCGTGCAGTCTTGTAGGCGCTATGCGTTTCACGCTGACCGCTGCTGAATGTCCTGTGTTTGACGCAATGCGTGAAGTATTTGTGCAGTCTTGCAGGCCCTAATACGCGTTTCATGCCGATCGCCGCGCCGAGGGCTTTTCCTTTTCATCTCACGTCCTCGTCATCATTGCTCTCTCTGCGCCGCGCCGTTCCAGGCCAAATTGCGTGTTTGCTTTCTCTTTTGACTCGACTAGTTAAAGGTGCTGTCTCTTGTGTCACCAAAAGACGACAAAATAAGAACTTACTAAACTCTCAGGAAATTAGAGATTTTGTCCCCTTTTCTCGTTTGTAATTTTTTTCTGAATCTGATTTTTTTTATACCTATATTTAAAAAAATTGCAAAATTTGCCGCCCCCTTTTGCCGCCATGGGCCTTGGCCCATTAGACCACCCCCTAAATCCGGCCCTGGAAGCCATGATCGCGAAAGGTTTTTCGGGCTGTGTGAGCACTCCTTTAAGTAATTTGACCTCGTATCTGAACGTCAAATGATAAAAAAAAATTGACAGAATCAGAGTTTTCTGGGCAGACCATTGACTTGCTCAACGTAGTTCGACTAACGGTCTCAATCTGAGAAATTTAATGCTGAACCAGACATTAGTTTAAAGTATCACTCCCTCTCCTTATATCAGGAGGTGTTCGATTACGCCCGTGTCGGAGTTTGGAAAAAGAACCTCATGGATAACAAAGGAGCAGAACTGTAGAATTGTTGCTGTTGAGAAGACGTTTGAATATTATCTAATGGATGCGTATTTGATGACGAATCAATTTGCAGCATTGATTCTTGAAAGCTCGTCCTTTATCGATAAGTCGAACCGAGTAACAGAGCGTGTACTTAGGTGTACTCACAGTGCACTTACTCATGGATTTGTATGCAAGGGCAATAGAGTTTGGCAATAAAAATTAGGTGACTCAAAGAAACACAGACTTTAAATGTAATTTTTTAATTAAGAAAAAAAAAACAACAAGGAAACAATATTTTACTATAACAAAAATCAAAAACGCAAAAGGCAAGTGTATTGACATGAATTATTGGGACACATTTAAGATAAAAGGAACTATGTGCATAGGGATTGCTTGTAAAATAGTACCTTTTAGCATAAATACGTTCATTGCTCATCAAGCTGTGCAACTGGGCGTCATCGAGCGAAAGCGTTGATTACCTCAATATATGCGAAAAACATTGAATTTTTACACCGCGTGTGTCGCAAACAATTAGCAAGAGTCAGCAATTTGTAAAAAAAACCAGTAATAAATTGAAAAACATAAAACAAAAAAATCAAAATACCATTATCTATTTTGCTTTAGATTTAAGTAGCGTTTTTTTCTCCTTGAATATATCGGTGGCAGTTGGCTCAATCGCGTAATCACATAGTGCAATTATGAAAAATCTTAATTGGATCCTGGTTGGTTGGTTAGGTCGAGACTCAACTAACCGCGTGGCAAAGCCTGGGGTATCACCGGAAAATGAAGGTACACCAGGCTGAGATCACGGTTTAGAAGTTTTACCAATGAAATCTTCATCATCCTGTAATATTAATAATTGCGATTTACCGAAACAGCTCGCAAACGGCTCACGAACTACCTCCTGTTGATAATTTCTTGCGACGTACTGAGGGTGAAACTTCCGAACCACGCATTTTCGACGTTGCAGACTTCCTGTCATATACTCAATCTTTTAAATTGATACTTACCAAACGTTAACTCTCGAAAACTTCCTTGGTCTATTTCTGTGCGAAGCAAATTCTGCAGAAAAAACTTCAAGTAACGATGCTGCGATTTATGTTTTCTCCTTTAAAAAGACAAAATAGGAGCTAAGGTTTTTAAACACAGCAAACGAGATACTTGGCTTGGGAGTTTCACCGTCAATATGCATTACCTGAGATACGCGCTTTTGCAAAACTCCCGATGAGGAGATTTTACCTCTTTGCTCAGTGACGCCCAATCGTTCCGTGTTGTCGTTCTTTCGTGCAGAAAGCGTGTAACTTAAATACGGATTCGGGAGTGACAATATTCCTCTAAACATTCTTTGTGAAGCCATTGGCGGATCCAGCAATTTGGCAACACCGGATTTCCTCCATTTAAACCTGTGGAAATGTATCGATTCTTAGGGGGACCAAGCGCTCCGACAAGAGTCGATTATTTAGCATAGGTTTAAATAGAGGAAATCCGGTGTTGCCAAATTACTGGATCCGCCTCTGTGTGAAGCGTAGCGAGACCGACCACCTACGCCTCTTCTACCTCCTGTTCTTTAGATGAGCAGCGTTTATCTAAAAGGACCAATTGCATCGACACATTCATAAAAATGCTAATCTAAATGGGGGAATCGATGGTGGCTCTGTTGTTTTTAAACCGAGTCAAAATAATTAGTTCCTTTTGGTAAACGCCGCGCCGCCCACTTTATAAAAGTCTCGAATTTCATCTATCCGTAGGCCTCCATCAACCGTTTGATCAGATCTTTCTTCTCGTCCTCTGGCAAGAAACAGGATCTAGCCGCGTTCAAATTCTGAAACATTCAAATAAAGCCTTTTTGATACATTTCAAACGACAGGGAACTAATCATTTATACAGCAGGAGCTAGATTGTTGTCATCGATTTCTGTTGACGTGGATCAAGTATACCTAAAAATCGCATCATCGTAAGTCTATAGAAAGGTGGTAAAACAGTGTTGGGTTAACACTCTTTTGCAAGGGAAGCAAGGCCAAAAAATTCCACAAATTTCAATTAGAGTCCAAAAAGCTCTAATGAGTAATGGTACGAGACTGAGGAGAAGAACTCAGCTCAGGCAGATGCATTTTAATGCCTGGTTCTCATTTTTTTCGGGTTTTCTCCGAACGAGTTGTGAGAGTGTACTATTACCTACTGGTGAGAATACTGTTTAACCACCTTGTTACTTACAGTTCGGGCCACATTTTTAGTGTTTTATCTTGTAAGCATCTAAGTGCGTCAAGAAGCTAGGTACACAATTTGATCGAAAATTAAGGTGAATTGATTTCAACATTCCGATGCGAATAAATAAAACACACTTTTTTACTTTATCGGGTTATTGACTTTGTGCGTAATTTCAAAGTTTTTTTCGAGGTGTTTCTAGATCGAACGTTAAGTGCAAAGTATATCAGAGTGACGCATGTTGTTCCCTTTGATAGTTCCTCAAAAATGCCGAACATTCTTGAAATTCTCGTTCGATTGATCGATTATCGAATCGTCCTTGTAAGTACACTAAGTCTTCATAAGTTTGAATAAAGGAGCTTCATTGTATAATTTTAAATGAAGTCTGAAATGATTAGCGGAAAAAATGAATGATAACAAATTATATTATGCCAGCTTGCATATATTTGGAAATTCCTCCATGTTTTGCCCCCAGAAGCCCGATAAAATTCCATTATGGTCGAGCTCGTTAGGAATATGTACCTATAGGCTGGATAGCCATAATCTCTTCTTCTGGACACGGTTTGCGATTTTTCAGGCCTAGATGTATCCATTACAACTAAAAGAATGTTCATTTTGCATACACGAAACAAAAAAGGCGTTTTCAGCTCATTGATCCCATTTGAAGGCAGCAGAAATGCGACGTCTGACTCTGATCTTTGTAACGCACGAATGCAACTATTCGAGCTTGAGGGATGTCCATGTTGCATATACAAAGAACGGAAGGCGTTTTAGATCTTGAGTCCCTTTTCAAGGACAATGAGTTAACGTTAGATGAGATGATGGCTTAGTCATTGGGCGTAAAAATCCGCGACTATGGTGCAAACGCTAACATTGGAAAGCGTTACCTGTGGATTACTGGGGGGCACCCTCTTCCCTCTTGGCCGCTTCGCATCCTTGCCTCCAGAATTTGCTTCGCGCCATCAAAGGCCACTTTCTAGGTCATATTTAAAAATTCAAAGAGAGTTGGCTTGCAGAGTATAATTTGCCGATATTTGAAAAAATCATGGAATTTCGCTCTCACTAGATTTACAGAGCAAAGTCAAAAAATGAACAATTGGGAATTCAGGATGATTATACATACGACGATGAACTTTTTAAAGGTAGGTGTTTTAAGGGTATAAGAAAAACGGTGGTGAGCCGAACTAAGACTACCAAAGGATTCATCTAAAGGACACCTAAAGGTTTCATCTTTCCAACGACTTGTGACCTCAGAACAGCGGGATGATGCCCCAATCGGCCAAACCCTCAACATAGAATGGCTCTAGAAAATTAGATGGAGAGTACGTAGATGCGATACATTTTGCAATTAGGAAGTACAATTTCTGGCTCAGTTTAAAACAACTTATGTGCCATTAGTTTCCCTATGCACGTACGTGTTTTTAAGGATGGGCCAGAAGTTGCAACTCCTGATCGCAAAATGTAGCCCAGATGAGTGTGCGTTACACTTACGGTTTGTTCGAGTTGCTTCTCCGTGACACCCCACGACGAAACGAGCGAGTAGTCGCTATCCAGCGGGTATCCTGTCAAAGTTGTGTCATCGGAATTTATCGAGAAATTTGCGCCGTCGTCCGCAAGTCTGTAAACAGCAAAGAAAAAATCTTATTCTCACTCAATCTACAAAAATTACACTAAATTGCAAGGAAACACTTCGATAAGTTTTCCTCAAAGAAAATCTTCTCTATTTCAATAAAATCAATTTTCAGACGGTTGATGGACGGGGTGAGGAAGGGGAGTAAGACAGTCGATGAGTTGGAGTTCAAACTCCGCAAGTGGGAAAATTCTAATAAAGTCATTTTTAAGACGCTCGATGGACCGGTTGAGGAAGGGGAATAAGAATCGGATTTTGGGGGTGCGCAGCGCCCCGTGGGTTGGGCTGCGTAGTGGCCAAGGGGCAGAGCCTCCTAGTAAAAAATAATTAGCTATATTTAAACGTTGCTATTTTTCTGACCGTTTTACTCATTTACCCATCCATTAATTTACATGTAATTTGACTTTAAAAGTCAGAATTAGCCTAAATACTGTTCAACACTTCGATGCAACTGTTCGAACTTGGAGGATTTCCATGTTGCATACACGAAAAACTGAACGCTTTTTATAGGGTGATCAGTGATTTAACTGTAGATGACTTGGTTGCTAATTTTCCATCATGCTTTATTTTTTTAACCATAAATTCTGCAAAATTGCGCCTAGAGACTTATAGTTAATTCCTCCCGGATGAAAGGGAAAATGCCCACACAATTTTCAAGCAAATTTCATCTTATTCCTCTATATTAGAAAAAATAAACACGATAGGAAAACATGTATTCCTGTTAGGCTGATTCCGCTTGGAGCGGTACGATTTTTAAACATACTCTCCATCATGTTTGTTGACATGTTCACGTCTAAACATGTTTGATATTCTACGTCCATGTGAAAAAAGTAAGAACTAGATAGTATTTCGAGCCGGCATGAAAAGGTTTTTGTACTCTCAGTGAAGTTAACATTTTGACGTTAGTGATTGATATGGGTTTTTTCGTCTAATCGTTGAAATCAAGGCTGAGAACCATTTGGATCATAGTTCAAGTAACAGAGCGTCGTTTGCTTTTAGTTTGAAAGGATGGGCAAAAAAATCACCGGTTTTAAAATAATGAAATGGAGTCAAGCAATAGAACCACATCCCCATCAGATGTTTTGAAAAAATACCCATGTGCAATACCTACTGCCATGTTGAGGGAAAACGCCGCATTTGCAATCCAAAGACACCGGATTCTCTCCGATAAAAATGTATTCAGGGGAAATGTTTTGCATATTTTTCTATTTTTACTATTTACGGTAAAAAAAGATAAACGTTATAATTTTCAAGTTTTAATCCATAAACTTTTGATAGATTGTCTCTTTTTGGGAAAAATTCCCTTAGAAATGTGATCCCATTATTAAATTCGATCCTATCGCAACATTAAAGATTGATTTAAACCAAGATTACAATCCGACGGAAATACCTGGATTATTTTATTTGACCAACATATTTTGAAAAAGACACCATGTGGTGACAAGCTACGTGACGTCCCTTTTCTCCTCCAGGCAAAATCTGGGCTCTAGAGAAAGATATCATTTTCCCGATACTAAAGAAAAACACCGTATGAACCTTCAAGTGTTGCCAAATTCCGCTTATAAACATTTTTATTACAGAGTAAAGTTATCAATACGTTTTTTTAAAAAAAAATTTCAGGTACGTTATATTGGTTTGCGAATATAATTCAGTGGAAAATTCAAGGGGTAAAATTGACACGTTTTTCAGAAAATTTACTTAATGAAATCTGGCAACATTTGTATACTCATACAACGTTCTTCCTCAGCACGCAGGAACAATCTAATTGAAATATCTCAGATGTGGAATCACGCGGTTCTCCGCAAGATGGCGCGTCTGCTTGCCAAAAGCGATTCGTAGGGTTAAGTGCTCTAGAAAAGTCATTCGTTCTCACATCCTTTATCACCTCATTTACGTCAAGCTCTGTGCATTTTTATTTGGGAATGGGACGGACCCACACACAAGGGAAGCGGATGATAAATAGTTGCCGCTAACAGTTCGGAGCTCGGATTCAAGTGAAGTCAGCCTAGAAGTTCGATTTCTTCGAGTGTTTCCGAGATAGTTACCCCACAGATAGAAGTATGACTATTAATGGAGAATTTTGCCCCTTCTCCTACAAACAGGATTTTACGCTGAAGGTTTTTTCCCAAATGGTAACAAGATTTCCTTATTTTGGAATTTCAGGGGTGTGCATCATTTTTCTTAGTGGCGGACCCAGCAATTTGGCAACCCTGGCTTTCCTTCCTTTAAACCTATGTTAAATAATCGATTCTTGTCAGCGCAACTAGCCCTTCCATGCATCAATACATTTTCGTAGGTTTAAATGGAGAGAAAACAGTGTTGCCAGTTTTCTGGATTCGCCAATGTTTTCCTCAGAGTAAAGCTTACTATTCTGCCCCTGTAGCATTGACTATTAAAATTGGACTCATGAAAAACTTGCCAAACATACGAAATAAAAAGGAAATTCGATTACATCCGACTATACGCTTTTCCGTAGTACGTCACTACAACCGAATCTAATGACTCCTCTTGGAAGATCATTAAAAATTTTTCAGTACCTGGAAGATCATGGATTATGCAAAATTTTCATAAAATTTCACAAAGCTGGAGTCTTTGCCTCTTCTTCATTTAAATTTCACATTTTAACGAGTAAGAGGCGCAGATTGGCGGTGAAACTGCAAAAATGCTTGCGTCGGTTGCGGTGCTTCAAAATCTCCGTCACTTTTTTTTTTTAAATGGAGACCAAGTCAACATTATGGCTTGAAGTTTTCACGCAGAATATTCTGTATAAAGAGAGGAGAAATCATATAATTTTAAAAAAAAGTTTTTAATAGTTTTCCATGTGGAAAATACAGTAGGAAAGGAAGTTTCCGCAAGCTGAGATACGCATTTCTGTAGTTTCACCATCGATTTGTTGCAAAACAAAAAACACCGCAAATAAATTGAAAATCGCGAGAAAAAATGAAATTCCTGATTTAACAATTTATCAGTAAAAAAGGGTCCGACATGTTTGAATGTAGATTTAACAATAAACAAATAACCGAACAATAACAATTACATATAACAATAACAATAACATTTAACCGAATAAAATGTAAATACAAATCAAACCACCCCTGCGGTTAAATTAGCTTTCCATTTTTGTACATTGTACTTTTGAAACATGCTGTACATATTTTTTTTAACAATTTAATTATTATATCAGCAATCCATTTTTTCCGTGATATATTATAAGTAAACTAATGGAAGGTCCTCCAGTGCCCATCCAATCTGAGTTTTAACTTACTGTTTGATTGGGTGTCTCTTGGTTTCGAAAGGAACTGCCGCTGTGAGGAAGCTGGACCAAGGACAACACTCAAAGTGGACCCGGTTTCGCAAACACTCCTTATAGAACTTTTCGTCCTGTACAACATGGTATCCGTGACCTACCCTATGGCTTTGATATAACTCCACTGCCTGTAACATGTTCAAATATAATGTAAAATGGCATCCACAATTTAATCATTTCAATTAATTTTCTTTAATAAATCGATCACAACATTCCAAAGACATGATATGCCTAAAATTTTCAATATGAAATTTCCATCTCTTTTTTATTTAGGGGAAAAAATCATATTCGTTATTTAAAATTTGCTTACAAGAATGCTACTCTCTTTGTGAGAAAAGAAAAATCACAGAAATGTGCAAAATTTGACAATAACTACTATTTTCGATTTTGAAAATACTTAATGACGGACAATTTTCAGCGTCACTTTAAATGCACGTTTTTGAGTTTTAGCCATGGATGTTTTCATCCTAGTTGATAAGTCACATTTAATAAGTTTGAAAATAAGTCTCCAACTGCTAATGGATCCTGGCTCCAGCGATTAAAATTTATCAAACGGATTAAACGACTTTACCCATTTTGAATTTTTGTCAATGTTTACAAACTCTTAAGAGTTAAATTTGGAACTCTTCACTTGACCATATCTGCATGAAATTTTGGTGAGAAATACGCGAGAAAAGCAGTACATTTCTTCCCAGACATTCTGGACGGTTTGAAGATAGCTTGACAAGTATTGCGGTTTGTCTGCACAAACACTGAAGGCGCTATTATTGAATAGAGCATTTGCCTCTCATCGCGCCACACCTCCCGTCTCCCGTCCATGCGGTGACGGGAACACAGCAGAAGTGTGGGTATCAAGTTGTGTTCAACTTCGTCGAAGTTTGAATATCAAGGCACGTTGAACGGCATCACCAAGATTTCAAGTCGGCACCAGCCCTACCCAACTGTCCAGTCCTAAAAAGGTTGAGCTGGTACCTAACAAACATCTAGGCAATCCCCCCCACCCCCCGACCCAGCCCGAGAGTCCTTTTTCCGCATGTACTTGGAAATTCCTCACTCCGAAAAATGGTTACAAATGGACCGCGTTTAACAAAAAGTAACCAAGCCACATCAGCTATTGCCAAATTTAATTTGGCAATTTAATTTTTTACGTGAAAACAATTGTTCGGATTTTTGTGCAAATTAACGTGAATTTTTCGCATAGTACGAAGCAAATTCCTTAAAATTTTCAAATAAATCCGGACAAGCGTTCTCTTGTAAAAAATAAAATTGCCCAGTTAAATTTGGCAATAGCTGACGTGGCTTAGTTCCTCGCTGCTAAACGCGGTCCAATTGTAAAGTACGTGGTAAGCCAGAACATTTCGAAAATTCTCTTTTAAGAATCTCGAGGTAAAATTCGGTGTGTACCTCACTCTTGAGTCAATATAGCGCCCCAAAAACTCAACAGATACGAACGCGAAGTGAAATTTGCTCCATGAGAGCGAACTGCGATTACATCCGCAGAAAGAGTAGATTCTGCTCCGTAATGTTATAAACCACTTTGAGAAAGAATAAATTTCCATACTATTGTGCTAGGGAAGAACGCAGTTTAAGGTTGCCAGATTATGTGAAAAACCCCGGATATTTTATTTTTAATTGTGGGGGAAAATTTGCTCGATTTCAGCACAATCCGGCGATTGTGACCCCGTTTCAGCCTCCGTAAGTTGTCAAATCTCCTTTGCGAAAATGCAAATTTTCTGGGAGACTTTTGAATATTTTTTCTCCGATTTTTCAGAGAATGTTGTTCACAATTCAGTCTAAAGAATCAGAAAATTCCAAAGAAAAATATTATCAAATTTTCTCCCGAATGAATATTTTATCAGGGGAAATTTAGCAACATGTAAATGTTCATATAAGACATTTTCACATAGCGTAACAGCATTACCACTCGGACCTTTATCTTCAGTGTGCTATATAGACTCCGTGGTGAATAAAATCTGAATATCGTGAAGAGATTTTCAACGATGCAATGCGATTTTCCATTTTTTTTTTATTTTTCGCTAAGCAAAAAAAAGAGAGAAAAAATCGTCGAAAAACCGCACGCCACGCGCTCTCGAACATTTTTTTCAGCCCTGGATGGGCAAATTCCAATGATGCCACAACAGTTAGTATAGCCTTGAAATTTCCACTTTGAAAGAGAAACCATTGCGGTGCTTTAAGATGCTTCATGTAAAATTATGTAATGAGCTAAATCCTCAATGCGTCTATCAACAAGTGTTCATGATCTGACAAATATTGCAAAAAAAGGGCAGATTAAGATTCTCAGCCGGTTGTAATAGATCGAGACAATGTACAACCGGTTCCGGGATAAAATTTGCCGATGTGTAGAGAATTCCTCTTTAATCCCGCATCACGTGTGAAATAAGCATTTCTTGTTAATGAATTAGGAAAATTGTTGCTACGTAGGTATATAAATAGTTTAAAATGCCAACTCGTTTAAAAAAATTCGAGTAGTAAAACCACGAGGACGTACATTGTTGAATTGTCATCAGTGGCGTGGCGTGGTTTGCGATATATCGATTGTTATGCCATTTAAGCCTATGGAATGTTCGCAGCGAACATCTTAATGATCGATTCTTCAACATAGGTTTGAATGTCAGAACAATCGATACATAGCAATTCACGCCTCGCCATTGACTGTCATCGAATTTTGAGAGGTTAAGTGATGGAGCTCTTGAGCTCTTAGACTCCAAAAGGGTAGGCAATCTATGCATTCAAATTATCCAGAGTGATTTATAATCACAATTGTTGGTAACTGTCGTTGGTAAAGCACGTATTTGACTTGGTTTTTGCATAAACTTACGCATTTTTGTGGAATAATGTTTACATATGAATTTTCTTTTCCATTTTCGTTTGATTTTGGAGTCTAAAGATTGACAGTGACATTTTTCGTTTTCAAAGGTTACCTACTCTTTTGGGCCCTAAGAGCTACATATTTCGAGTTGTCCATACTCTCCCTATATAGGTACTCTGATTTGTAAAGACATTAAGAGCCTAAGTTTCTGAATGTCTCTGAATAAATTAACTAACTAATTTCTTCTATACTTGTGTCACAGCCTATTGATTACTTAAACTAAAATCCCCTTTAAATAAGCTTACTACAATCTTCTGTGTGTGTGTTTTACGTCATCTTTTCCAATCTTAGCAGTGTGATAACGAGAAGTTAGTTGAGGAGGTGAAGTTACGTCACACGTTCGTTGGTAAAAAAAAAATGAAGGCTACGCATAGTATTGTATAATCAGCTTTTCCATAGTAGAGGGGAGAGAGTTGTTTTCGCCGAAAATTGAGTGGAATTTTTCCCCCTCATTATCCAGCTCACTGTTAAATGTCATCACCGTTGTTTCGTAAAGGCTGTTTTCATGACAGAGACTATGATATGTCGAAACACAATGGCGATTAAATATTTCTTGGTTTTAGTCTTAACTGTACCCGGGTCAACTTAAATATGACTTTCCAAGGGAAAAATTCAAGTCTGATTTTATCTATTTTGCTATCTACTAATTTTTAGAATCAAGTTAAGTTCACATCAGTATTGGGCATTCATGAGAGATGCGTGAAACGCAGTATAATATACGTAAAAATTGCAAAGAAGACATTTATTGATTTACCCTTTTTATTCCGGCTGGACCACTGACTTCACCGGCGTGTATTGTTGTCCCATACCCTCTTCTTTTGGCCTCGGCAAAGAAAGAGATCAGATCTGGATTATTTGGTGCTTCTTCTGTAATCAGAGAAACAAAAATTTTAAAATTTTAAGCCTTTATAGCTCTATCAGATTCCCCATATAAAGACTTTTTCACCAAAATTGACGAAATTTGTAAATGTATAATATTGCAAAGAGGTTTTATATGGAATGAGAGAGTGACAACTCCCTGACGGGTTCTGGGAGAACCAAGTGCTGTGGCGGTTAGGCGTCGCAAAGCGCCAGAGAGCGCTGTGAAGGCGACTCTTGTGTTTGTATAATATTGCAAAGCGTTTTATTTTGATTACATTTTGAAATTAGGAACTACAATTTTCGGCTCATCCGTAAAAGCACGTATGTGCACAGGGAAACTAATGTTACATGCGATGTTCCTAAACTGAGCCAGGAATTGTCATTCCTAATTGCGAAATCCAGTCCATTTCTATCACATGTCTACGACTTAAGTCGGGAAATAAGCATCCTTATGGCAACCTAAGGCCCGCTGTCCTACGCGTGTGTAATTGAAGTGATGTAGTAGAAATTCTAAGCAGAAGTTTTGTAGTTGAAGTTTAGTAGTTAAAGTTTTGTAGTTAAAGTCGCTTTCGAACCAAAGGCTTGAAGTTAAAGTCCAAAAGTGCTTTGTAAATCGTCTCTCCACGCACCAGTTTCTTCAGTTCCTCAGCTCTTCCAGCCCACGCACCACCCAAGCACCTTTCCCCCTTACATTAAGGCGGATAAAATTGTGATCTTATTCCGATTTTGGCTGCCATCTTGGAGTTTTGTGACATCTAGAGGGTGCAGCCTTTGCCGTGTAATCCGAGGCCGGAGGGCAGGCCCCTTCGGTCCGCTTTGCGCTCTCGTATACTACCGTGCTAAGGAAAAACGCCTTATGAACATTCGAGAGTTGTCAGATCTCCCTTGATAAAACGTGTATTTTTAACAGAATTCATGCATGTTTTTCCTTGAAATTTTCAAATATTTTGGATTAAATTGTGTACAAAATTGTCTGAAAATGTGGGAAAATTATATTTACAATTTTCCCAATAAATTCGGTCTTTATCGGAGGAAACTTGGCAACGTCTGAAGACTCATACGGCGCATTCTTCTTTAGCACGGTAGTATACAGGTACATTAGGTCAACTTGAATCAAATCGCGCTTTACAACAGTTTTGGCAGGCTTCTGAATCGAGCAATGTTCCTTCCACGCCTTGCGTTGTTCAAAGTGTTAAGAACGTGCGCAACAGCTAAGCCGCTACACCGAAATCAAAGTTGCCACATTTTCATACCTCAGAGACTATAACGGCAACTTAAAAAGCGCGATTTGACACACGTGGACTTTTTTTCATGAGCAGGAGGTTATAATGTATCGATAAACTTTAAATAGCCTAGTTATGAGTTAGTTTCAGCAATTTTCATTGCGCAAATCGTGTTTTATGTGAAATTTCGGTTGCGAGACATGTTTCAGAATGCTTAAAACTGTACCTTGTCTACTGGTCCATTGCATCCAAACAGTAACATAACGACGGTGAAACTACCAAACCACGTATCTCGTTTGCGGTGTATAAAAATCTACGCTCATATTTTATTTTTTTGAAGTAGACCAAATCAATATCATTCCTTGAAATTTTCACAGAATTTTCTCCGCACGAAAAGGAAAAATCACAGAAATTTTCAAGACTGGACGTTAAGTAGTTTTTTATTTAAAAAATAAAGTATGACAGGAAGTCTGCGACGTCGCAAACCGAGATACGTGGTTTGGTAGTTTCACCATCGATAAACGCTTTTCCACACTCTGAACGGGAACAAATTGATATAGCTGAACAAGTAGTTCAGAATAGGTGGAGCAAGGTAGTGATGCCACGCGCGAATCAGTTTATACCGGCAAAACTGATTGAAAATGCTTACCGTTGCCTTGCGCAAGTGAGAGGAGGTCGATGCCGACAACATCGTTGGTGAAGTTCTCGCAAACTTTGAGAATGTCAGGAATGGAATGTGGGAGCCAACTGCAACCGCTGAGGATGGATTTGCACTTGACGCCGAAGTCTCTCTCTCCCCTTTTCAAACCTTTGACCACTTGCGACGTTACATCTAGGAGACCTGAACACAATCAAAGCTCACCATTAGATATCATTGAGGAATTTGCAGGTTTCTAATTTTGTGAAGTTCATGTTTCAGAGGTATTTATTGAGTGAACTGAGCATGAGAATCCTTGCATGGTTTCTAAAATAAACTGATATTGTGGAAGATATAACCAAATTATAAAGTATGAGAGGAAGCCTGCAAAGTCGGAAACGGAGAAACGTGGTTTCGCACTTCGGCCAATGATATATATTTGAGACAGGCAAAATGTGCCACACACAACTTAAACTTGAGCAACTTAAATGGAGATGTTGGATGTGTGAAGATTTTGCGATTTGACTATTGATTCTTATGTAAAAGTTCGCGAGAAACGCGACGGTGCCATTTGTTTTCTCTGAAATCAACTCCCAAGCTCAAAAAAAGCTCTCAAGTTGGGGCCAAAATGGAGGGGATGATACTGTGCGTATTGATTTATTCGTATGATACTGTGCAACACTTCTGTTGTAAAATAGTTGCTTGAGTCGCCGCGCCGTGGCACGAGCGGCCGACCGCCGCGACACGCGCATTGGCGCCTACAAACCTAAGGGGATACTTCAAGCTTTGCGCAATGCACGAGGTATTCATTTAGGTTTGTAGGCGCTAGTGCGCGTATCCCGCTGGTAGCTCCTCGCTCCGCTCTGTTAGAGTCTAATATTCAAACTCGCGAAGTCAGCGTTTTTCAACTCATGATTTGGAGGCCAAAATGGAGGGGATATCCCACGCTATCCTGAGAGTCTACGTCTACATTAAGACAAACTCTGCATGCAAAGATAGGGATCAAATACATTGACACGGCTGCCACTTTATTTGGGGACTCTAAAACTGAAAACACGGCATCACTGCTAATGTATTTGCTCTCTATGTTTGCAATTGATGTAGAGGTGGACTCTCAGGATAGCGTGAGATATCCCCTCCATTTTGGCCTCAACTTGATAGCTTTTTTGAGCTTGGGAGTTGATTTCAGGAAAAACCAGTGGCACTATCGTGTTTCTCACGAACTTGTATACAAGAATCAATGGTCAAATCACAAATTCCTCACACATGCAACATCTCTTCTCCCACGGAATATACTCTGCTAATAGAGAAGGAGAATCAAGGAGGTTTTCAAGAGATTGACTGGAAATTTCGAGAATTGACTGGTTCTCTAATGAAAAAATAAAGTATGAGAGGAAGCCTGCAAAATCGTAAACGGAGGTACGTGGCTCCGCACTTCGGCCATCAATATATATTAGAGACAGGCAAAATTGGCCTTAAGAGCAACTTGATTTGCTCAGTATAGCAAAAAAACAGGTTTGGCTGCCTGGAAAACTGAACAAGAAAGAGCGCCTTCAAGTTTTGCCATATGCAACACAGGCATCCGTTAGGTACGAATAGTCGCATCCAACATTGCGTTGTCTAACTGCTGGGACCCGCTACGGACGCCTTTAGTCTAATCTCAGTTCGACGTATTACCAGATGTCTGTGAACTGGAAAGTCAGTATGCGATTAAAGTGTCTCGTGGACATCAAAGTGGCTCAACTTGCGTTTTAGAAAAATCGACGGCGTAAGTTCGCAATCATGTATCTCGTTTGCGGTATCTGATTATCTCTACCTCTATGTAATTTTTTTAAAGGACGACAAATTGACATCATTCCTTGGAGTGTTTGCAGAATTTTCCTCACACAGGGAAGAAAAATCTCGGCAGTTTTAAAGACTTGCCGTTGAGTAGTTTCCCGTTGAAAAAATGAAGTATGAAAGGAAGTCTGCGACGCACTATGGTCCAGGACTCAAGAATAGGAAGAAATATGTCGGATAATGACTGAAAGATCACGAAAGTTTCATGTCTGACGTTTTTTGAGTCGATATTTTCGAATTTGATGTCAAATTGTCAAGATTTTAACAACCTCACCTATAAATTGTGGGCAAGTTTACGGCACGCTGCGACGCGGCGTACTGTCAGCTCGAAACGCGCACTGACGCCTACAAACCTAAGGGGATGCTTCACGCATTGCGCAAGGCTTGGAGTATCCCCGTAGGTTTGTCAGGCGTCAGTACGCGTTTCGAGCTGGCAGTACGCCGCGTCGACGTCGCAAACCGAGTTTTGTGATTGCCGACTTACACCGTCAAAATGTCTGTCAAACCATCAGTTTGCAAAATGACGCAATGTTAATGGATTGCATCTCCGAGTGTCTGTTTGAAGGTTGTTAGATTTCAAAGCAGAAAGAGATTCTACCCCCGATAAATGATGATGAGGAGATTGTCAGGGATTATGTTAGAGGGTCGCGGCAATATAGAAACTCACCTTGTAGTCCGTATTTGTCACAAGAGGCGAACCCCACTAATTTATGAGGGCTATAGCGTACTTCAGAATAGATTACGTTACATCGCTTCGAGTCCTCACAGAACTCGTAAGCCAGTCTTTCAATTGCTTCGAGATCACCACTGCAAACAATGGAAACGAGGAATAATAAATGAAAAAAATAGAGGTGAAAACTATCAACGAACAAGAACAAACCGTGTTTTGGTCATGTAAAGCAACAGAAACATTAAATTCTTTTATTTTACTTTTAATTTTACTTAGAATACTATCGAACCGTCAGAAATTCTCCCTGAACTTCATACATTAGTGTAAAATTAGCGTTTCTTTCTCGGAAATCGTAATGTTGCGTTTGTCGGAAAGGCCAAATCCTCTTGAATACATGGCACTGAACCAATTTCAAGTGTCTTTTGATGACATGGTTTTCTGGGACTACTGAAATTTTCTTGAAAAATTTACAAATGCTGTGCATGAGAGGTGGGAGAAGACTTTTGAGATACATAAGAATGATAATTTTAGATTCAATGGTCAATTCGACCTTCGCTGATTTTGGTACTCAACGAGCTAGAAGTTTGAATTCCCTAACTCCCACGAACAACGATGAATGGACACTTACAATAGACAATGGACAATGGACAATGGACAATGAGCGATAACATTTTATTCACGTGTTAAGTTTGGAAATGTTCAGCGAGTTTGACATATTCGCATGAACTTTTGATGAGGATCAACTCATTGTATTGCTTTATTCTACTTCATCACTTGATTCATATTACATAGACTTGACAAATCTGTATGGCTGTAAAGGCATTCACACATTTAACCCCTATTAAAGGTTTCTGATTGGAGATAGCTAAATCTAAGATTAAAATTCAGAACGCAACGTTTGAGGTTCACTTACGCATAGTATGGATTGTAAAATTTATAAGGCTTCAGAAAAGCTGCTAAACTTTCGGGCTCCCTGATAATACAATTTTTCTTTAGGTCTTCAAATGTTCCAGAACCAGGAATATACAGATTCTTCTTTCTGAAAAAAAGACGTCAACAGAATGTGAATGTACCAGTTTTATTGCGTCACATCAAAGTTCACAGAAACATCTTCCACCTAAAAATGTTGAGTAAATGATGTCGCAAAGTTGAAAAATCTTGCTTTTATAAATGAAAGGAATCCCAGAATAGATTAACCCCTTGCAGGAGTTGTGTATATAATACCATTCTACCGTACTAAGGATGAACGTCGTATGAGCTCTTCGACGTTGCCAAATTCCCTTTGACAAAACGCGAATTTTTGGGTAAATTTGAAAATGTTTGTTCTCCAAATTTTCAGAAAATTTTTGTTATAATTTGATCTACAGTGTCTGAAAATTTCATTAAAAAATATTAATTACTTTCCGCAGAAATAATTATTTGCCAGGAATACATTCGGCAACATTCGAATGTTTTTACGGCGTTTTCCCTTAGCATGACGATATTCTGCAACCTCGAGCAAATATGATCTATTTCAAATCCGATAAGAAAAAGTGAGGGCCCATGAGCCATTGTTATTTTTCACCAGGCTATAATCACAACCGCGTAAGAATAGGTCAAATGGAAAGTTTTGGCATTTAATGTTTTGAAAGTTTGGCTTGTTATTGCGCCCAGATCCTCGTGCACTGATCAAATACTTGAGCGACAAGCCTTCTCCGGTTTAAGCAAAGGGTCATGAACGCAATCTTTACTCACTTTCACACGCGAATCAAAGATAACCGCATAACAAGCGGTATAATCATATTTAATGTCACGCTAGATTTGTTTTCACCACCGATTCTTTTTACAATCACAGTTTGCAGTTGTGACAAAACAATACCGGAAAAGGTGCGGCAAATACGTGGGAAAAACACTTTTATTGAGCATAAACGAGGGAAAAATGGTTATTAGCCTGAGTATATGAGTTGTTGCCAAATTTTCTCTGATGTTTTGTTTTTTATAAACAGGAAAGTAAGTAACAGGTCCTTGATTGGGTTCCTCCTAGGAGGAGGCGCAGAGGGCGCCCAATGAGAGGTTGGAGGGAGGGGATTGAAGCAAAAATGTTAGGGTGCTCAATGCCCTAAGGTTTGTGGTTCGACAGAGAGCAGTGGAGGTTAGCTGTCGTAGAGCGCGAGGGAGTGCTATAAAGCGACCTATACGCATGTAAGTAAGCAACATTGAAATTTGAAATTTTGTGAGTACATTTTTCATGATCTGGGGTAAATTCACAGAAAGTTTAAACGCGCTAAGCGGTTTCGCCAGTGGCGTGACGAGCTTTGTTATGTATCGATTAATCTGCCATTTAAACTTATGGAAAAAGATCGATAAACAGGGTGCTCGCAACGAACATCTCGAACACCTTAATGATCGATCCGTTACCACAGCTTCAAATAGGGAAATAGCGATAATCGATCTTTCACGCTTCGCTTTGGCGTTAAGGAGTTTAGTTCTCCATAAAAAAAAGAGAACATAAGATTAATTTAGGCAAAGAGACATACACTTTGGATGAATCCGTCCATTTGAACATTCTAGCTTGGGTGTCTATTATTTCTAAAAAGCTCTAATGAGAACTAATTGTATTATAATTATATAAGGAATATTACGTGGCTAATTCGTAGAGTGTCTCGTATCTTGCGCATCCGTCTAAATGAACGTGAAGTTCTACCTGAAATCAAAATAAATTTTCCGATTAAAATTAGGTATACAATTCACTCAAGGCATTGAACATACATACTTTTTTATCATTTTGGCTTGAAAGCAAATGACGGCACATTAAGATTTTTTGAAGAATAGTTTTACGAGATATTCTCTCTCATGGTGAGAGCCCAAACACATAATAGCTTGGTTTAAACATTTGAAAAAACGGATATAAAATATCCACGCGTGGATTGAACAGAATGCCTAATTAAATTTCAAGCGTTTTATCAATTTTGCAGACATCGGAAATTGTGTATTGTTGAGTCTAGTGCGCTCTCCTTAACAGCATGGACATCAATTTGACATAATTGCAAATAATCCCGATGATAAGTTATTTTTTCCTCGAGAGTTGTGCCAAAAAGTATTTCTTTTCATATCTCTATGCGCAGGATTTACACAATTTTAAAAATAACCGCTACAACTTGATGCACTCCGGGATGATTTTGCTTATAGGGAGAGTATGAAACAACTCGAAATATGTAGCTCTTAGGGCCCAAAAGGGTAGGTAACCTTTCAAAACGAAAAATGTCACTGTCAATCTTTAGACTCCAATATAAAAAGAAAATGGACAAGAAAATTCATAAGTAAGCATTCTTCCACAAAAATGAGTAAGTTCATACAAAAACCAAGTCAAATACGTGCTTTACCAACGACAGTTCCCAACAATTGTGATTATAAATCACTCTGGATAATTTGAATTCATAGATTGCCTGCCCTTTTGGAGCCTAAGAGCTCCATCACCGAACCTTAAAATTTTCGACGTGTCCATACTCTCCCTATATAGGTACTCCAGATTTTGCTAACTTTTTTACGACTCTGGAAAATAAAATTAAAAATATCGCACTTCCTCGTGTCATTTGAAGAGGGCTTTTTGACATTAGATGGAAGTGAGTGCGATTCTTTTTCACTTGATTTTCAAACCTTTGGTACATGGAGTATTTCAGACATGCGTTCTCCGTTTTGTAGGACTCCTCATAACGTCGCCTCTCTGACAAACGGGCGTATCTCGATTTACACGTGGGCCCCGAGAGCATAGAGTTATGCGGAGGACAGGGCTCATGCGGAATATGAGATACGCTCTTACGTCAGAGGGACGATGTTAATTGCACATGACTACCGCGGAATCTGCACGCGTATCAACCAGCGCAGTAGAGCGAGAAAAACGTTAGGGCCCCTTCAAATTTTTGGTATGCAACGAGCACGTCCGTCGAGCACTAATAGTTGCATCAAGGCGTTGACATGGACATCGCGGTGAATGATGTCGCGTCGGGCAAGGTAAATCAAATGGCATCTTATGCCACTTTCTAAATGAAGCATATAATACTAATTGTTTACTTAAACAAACACGCGAAAACCTTTTTGGCAATATTGAAGCAACTTTACATTTTTCTCAGAGTTGGTAAGAAAAATAATTTTTCTTGCGGTAGAAATATAAATCACCGTGAAAATTCTCAAATTTTGCACTCTTAATTTACTTGACGACTTCTATTTTGATAATTCTCTGAGAACAAATTTTAAGCAGTTTTTACGTCTCGTGGAAAGTCACCTACTCCCAATTTTTTCATGAGGAAAAAAGAAAATAAAGCAGCAAAGGTTAAACGAACAACAAAATACAGTTCTTTTACCGGAGCGGATTCAAACCATAAGTCGGACGCGATATGAACAAATAAAATAGATTTAGCAGAGACTCAAAACCTCGATCTCCTTAAATTTTCACACATATATGTATCACGCAGAAAAATCTGCGAGGCGCAATTTTTTTTTTTTAATTCTCTAATTATCATCGGATTGGATCTTTCGGAGAAATCTGCTTGACCTTGCATGCTCTTTTTAAATAGCCTGATTTGATAGAGAAAGAAAAAAAGAAAGAAAGAAAATTATCAAGGTGTATAAATTGTTTCAAGGTGCAGATAATTTTGTATGATATTTTTTGCAACGTTTGCAAAATTATCTTGCGGATCGGACTGATCAAAGTAATGCCACAATCACTCTGCAAATTCTACCCACGTGCGCACAACATAGCGTTTAGACTTACTCATTGTTAAATCGTTACCGTTACCTACATGGGCAGAATTTTAAATCTTATCTCGTAACTTAGTTAAAACCTCGAATATATTAATTACTGCATGATGTCATTCCAACATTTTCCGGAAAAAAATCGTTTCGCCTCAGTCCTTCTTTTTGAAATTTGTATCAAATCATATGTAGAATGATATATCGAACCGTAAGTTCATGGTATCACATTAAAAACCTCCCTTGGGCAGATTCAGATGCTTCTGACGGGGGAGGAGGGTGGGGGTGGGTCTGTAGGCCTCCTCCAGAAAATTTTCGAGATTTTAAAGCATCCAATATGCTGATTGATGCAATTTCGTCATGAATCACCAATAAATTTACGCGCCCCTCTTCTTCTTTTCTCTGTTCTTTCCTTGATATTTCCATGTAAATTTATTACTGTTACTGCCCTCTTTAGAAGTGTAAATGGCCTGAGATGCTAAAGCACCGCTTTAAAATAAAATTATTTTACTACTACTACTCTCTTTCTTCCCTTTTTCTTCGTCCTTTTCTTGGGCGAACGGGGGGAGGGGGGACGCACGCCCCCTACGCCCCCCTCTTTAAATATGCCAATAAATCCTCCTCCTTTCTCCTTCATTTTCAGGAGAGGGCCTTATTCAGAACCTAATATTTGTTAGTTTACGTCCGAGCCACCTTTTTGCAGGAACTGTTAACACACGCATCTAAATTACGCCGTTTCAAAAGCCTGCTTTTATTTTAATTTTTTGAAAGAATATGTCATAACGCTTTCCCATGAGATTATTAAAGAGAAGATGACGAAAAAAAGAAGAAAAAAACAAACAGTTTTTTTTTACAACTATCATGATTCCTCTCCTGAAAACAAACAAAACTAGATAATCCGCGGAATCAAGGCTCAGATTCTTTTTCCCTAGTTCCATCACCGAACAGCGCTCCTTAGTAAGAAAACTTAGCTCGGAGATCAGCTCTAATCCTTGTTCAACGACATAAGCACTCCTCCGGTCTTTGAACAACTTTGAAGTTTAAGCTCACAGAGCTTGAAAACTTTCCAATTATTTTTATTTCTGTTTGTGTTCAGCGCAGTTGAACTGTTGACTGCGCCAATATCCATTGACCCCCACGATACCCCACGTTTAGTGACCCCCAAGATAATTGGTAACACTGAAATTGGCGGTTACCTATCTCGACGCAGGCTGGAAAGCTTCACTACGGGAAGTCATAATCATAGACCTAGAAGACCTTGAAAGGTAATATTCAATGCTTGCTTACTTTTTGTTCTGATCTTGAAATCCAGGGAAGCTTTCGATGATTCTCTGTGCTTTAATGAATGAAACGGTGATAAGAAAATTGCGTGCATGAGAGTACCACTCATTCACGTGTGAAGTGTCTTGTTAAGTGTGCAATTATCAGACAGAAAAAAATCTCGTCGCACTGATCAAACATTGGCTAATGAGAAAAAATTATCTCGCGGTGGGACATCAAAGTGCAAGAATTGCGGGAAGAAATTGATCCAAAAGTTACACGGAACGCAGGCGAAAGTTTGGTGAGCAATCGCAGATGAAATATATGTATTTAATCCTTCTTGCGACTCTTCGATACCTATTTGTCTTAAGGCAAAATATGGCTTAAGATGAGAGGAGGCAAGACCACTCGCCCACTCGCTAAGGAAGAACGCCGCCGTATAAGCCTTCAAACGGTGCCAAGTTTCCTTTGATAAAATTCCAATTTGAGGGCAACCTGTGAGCACTCTTCTTCGAATTTTTCTGAGGATTTTGTGAGCAATTTAAGTAATCTAAGGCACTTGAGATTTTCAAGAGAAAATATTTACAACTGTCCTTACAAAGAGCGACGCCAAGAATGGCACAATTTGGGCCAGAAGGGATGTTTCTGAAACCAGGCCCAAACGATACCTTATGATACCCTAAAACTCTGGTTAAAATTTTAGCTTGGGTATACGCACGGTTTTTGAGAAATGAGGGGGCAAAGTTGCCAAATCGCCATCATTCTGGACAGCATTTCTACAGCAAAAAGACGGGGAAAATGGACGAAAAAGTTACATTTTTGATGGGTTTCGGCTGTAAATGTTCTTATTGGGCCCCTAAGCATTTAACTGTGTTCAGTTTCAAAAATTTTGATCGCACAGTGGTCCAAAGTGGGGAGAAATCGTCGACAAATCAGGATTCTTTGTCAAATTTTTAAAAATGGAAATAAAATTGTCGGTCTGCTGCAGTTTTCATGGCTAACAATGTTCTTATCGGTCCTCAATGCATGAAATTGTGTTCAGCTTCACAAATTTACGTCGCACAGTGGTCAAAAATGAGGGAATTAGTGGACAAATTAAGATCCTCTGTGAAACTTTTTAAAAATGAAGAGAAACTGTTGGTCCCCAGTAGAGTTTAGATCCGGGAAAAGTTCATGTATTTAATTTTCTTAATTATTATTGCATGTCAGACCGTATTGTCTATAGAACGTTGTTATAGAATAGACTTCGTAGCATTATCTCAATAAAATATGCAAACTTCCAGAAATTTAAAAAAAAGAAGGAAAAATGGAGAGAAAAAATTAAAAAATGATTTAAACAGTCCAAAAAATAATTTAATGAATTTTTCCGGGATCTAAACTCTACTGGGGACCAACAGTTTCACTTCATTTTTAAAAAGTTCCACAGAGGATCTTAATTTTTCCACTAATTCCCTCATTTTTGACCACTGTGCGACGTAAATTTGTGAAGCTGAACACAATTTCATGCATTGAGGACCGATAAGAACATTGTTAGCCATGAAAACTGCAGCAGACCGACAATTTTATTTCCATTTTTAAAAATTTTACAAAGAATCCTGATTTGTCGACGATTTCTCCCCACTTTGGACCACTGTGCGATCAAAATTTTTGAAACTGAACACAGTTAAATGCTTAGGGGCCCAATAAGAACATTTACAGCCAAAACCCATCAAAGGTGTAACTTTTTCGTCCATTTTCCCCGTCTTTTTGCTGTAGAAATGCTGTCTAGAATGATGGCGATTTGGCAACTTTGCCTCCTCATTTCTCAAAAACCGTGCGTATACTCAAGCTAAAATTTTAACCAGAGTTTTAGGGTATCATAAGGTATCGTTTGGGCCCGGTTTCAGAAAAATCCCTTCTGGCCCAAATTGTGCCAAAAAACGGTCGTTTTTGGCGTCGCTCTTTGTGCGAGGGACTTTGACACAATTTGAATAGCCATACTGTCGTGCTAAGGAAAAACGCCGTATAAAAATTCGAGAGTTGCCAAATTTTCCCTAATAAAACATGTAATTTTGAAGAAATCTACGCATATGTTTCCTCGGAATTTTCAGATATTTTAGATTAAATCGTGAACAAAATTGACTGAAAATTTGAGGAAAAATATTCACAATTTTCACGGTAAATTCGGTTTTGCTTAAAGGAAATATATGGCAACAACTGAAGGCTCATACGGCGTTCTTCTTCAGCACAGCAGCATACGCTGTATTTCCTCAGCACTGCAGTGTGCTAAATCCTTTTAACTTTGCATCATATTGCCTAGGAAGAGAGGCTCACCCAGAAAAAATGTTAACCACCAAACCTTCCTCCCGCACCCCATGAAAGATTTCTGACTCCGCTTCTACCCTAATTACTGATCAGTCAGTCTGACCTCGACTGACTTTCTTCCATAAAGCAATCCATCCTAGTCCGAGCGCTTTAATCACACACTGGTCACAATGGCGTTTGTCCACAACAGACTGATTCAGGATGACGCGCAGATGATTCAAGTTAACGTCGGAGTGACTTGTTTCACAAATCAGTCTGAGTCAGTCTGACCTACTTTTACTATAGTATCTTACGATGAGTTGAATCAAAAACCTCCATTGTGCGTAACCAATCCTTCAACTTTGCCAAATGACACAAACAATGACAGCACC